GGCCGATAAAGCCTAAATCATTTACTGTTTTGCCTTGGTCTAGAGCCTCATGAGAGTTCCAAGATCAAAAATTCTAAACTAGGGGCCATCAAGACAGCTCAGGAGATAAAGGTGTTTGAATCAAGCCTGGAAATATGAATTTAATCTCTGGGACCCACAGAATAGACAAAGAAAATTGGCTCCCAAAAGTGCTCTGACCTCCATATTCAAGACATTATACCCCCATGCTCATAAGCACCAATAAAAAAACACTTTAAAGATTTTAGATTCTAAACTAAAGATGGTTTACTGCCTACTGCCAAAAATCCCCAATTTTGATATTATGAAGCTATAAATTTGTCTTAATCATTTTGCTTTTGGTCTATCTATACTAAACTCTGAGCACATTAATAGCTGTATTGAACGCACCAACTTGCATTTGTTAGCAGTGAGCCCAAATGCAATACTTTCTTGCTTTAAGATTTATAAAATGAAAGCTGGGCATTGTGGTGCACACCTTTAATCCTAGACTCGGGAGGCAGAGGAGGCGGATCTTAAAGTTTGAGGCCAACCTGGTCCACAGATAAGAGTTCCAGGACAACCAAGACTACATAAAGAAACTCTGTCTCAAAAACACAAAACAACAACATAAGATTTATAAAAGGGCTCACTGCTATCTTAAACAACAAATTCCAGACGAGAAGGTAGGTGAGTATGGTGAGAGGCTAGAAAAGACTCGGCGACTAAACCTCCGTCTTCCTTCTTATCAGCTGTGAAAGAAGAGAAAGCACGTCAGAAGAAGAATGGAGAGACGGGGAATCATTTGGGGTTGACTACACACTATAATTAGAATAACACAGAAGGGGAATGAGCTAACTGTTTTCATAAAGTCAGCATTCAAAAATGCAAACCACCAGTAATTTAAATATTACAAAGTTGTGCAGAATATAAGTATTGGAATAATTTTTTCCATCCACAAAATTTTAGAGAAAATTATAGTATCACAAAATATGAAATGGTAAGTTTGGCATATTCTCAGTATACAACTTTTTTTTTAATTGGAAAGGATTTAACAAACTAGTGGCTAGGCTCTTGACAGTATGTGATGCCTAAAACCATGTGGTGTGTCTCTGAAACTGCTTCTGGAACCAGAGGGGAAATGTCACCAAAGCACTAATGTAGCAGAATGCTAAGAAAGCAGGCTGATGAGATTCTAAAGCACAACAGCCATGCATTTGTCCATACCCAAGACTCCTAAACAAAAGCATCCCGACTTACCCAAGAGCTGCATCTGACATAACAAGGCAAAGGTGCCTAGTACATGCCACCTCCAGCAAGCACTGGCAGAACAGGCTCACGACGCTTTTCAGAGCTATATTACTGTGCCCTTTCCACAGCAGAAACCAGCCTATTTCTGCCCGCACCTCTCTCTCCACAGAGTACACTAAATTCCGAACACATCGATGACAAAGTGGAGCTAAGGGGTTACTAGGTTACAGTTATGTTGACACGTCCTAGCTCTAGGAACGTCCCTCCCTCCTTGCTCACATACAACAGCAGAAGTGGGCAAATTATAGAAGTCCCATAGAAGGCACCAATCACCTAGAAACCACTTGTACCGAGCCTCAGTTTTGGAGTGTTGAGAACCGTTCATTCTGCAGTTCCAAAGCCCACCTTTGCCTTTTGCCAGGATTCCCAGGGTAAACCAGGTATCTAGTCTTTAGTGAACTGGAAAAGACTATAAAAAATATTTTAAGTATTTACTAATGGCCGTTTGTACATGGTGGTACACTCTATGCATGTTGCCTACAGTATATCACTAACACTCGGCACGGGAGTGAGTTATCATCGTCCTCCCTTTTACAGATCTACTAACCGAGGTTCACGGAGCTCAAAGTTTGTCTTAAAATCACACAGAAAATAAGTCTCAGCCTTTTCTCTAATCCAAGCTGGCAAGAAAACAAAGCAACTCCAGAGTTTTCTTTCATCAGCAAAACCCTGTCTTTGCAACATCCCAATCTGCAACTTAGGGTGGAGACCCCAGCGGCAGGTTCACCAGTATATGCTCAGCACCCAACAACCCGCAAAGAAACTGAACTGGGCCGGACAACATCTTCATGCCTGTTCTTCCACGGGAAGGGATTCTGAGGCAAGGAAGGGCGTGGGGAAACTGAGCAGAGCCCAGCTTCTATCCTGGCTGAGGACACCACCTCGGGCGGACCACGCGGGGGACTCGGCCTGGGAAGCAGGACGCCGTACTCGGCGTAGCCCGCACTGGTACGGGCGACCTTAGCCGTCACGCATCCCTTCTCTCCCGCAAGCAGTGAGCTGAGTCTCGGAAAGTTCGAAGCCGGCGCGCGGGGCAGAGTCCTGGTAACGGGGCAGGCGCATCCACGCCGCGTTCCGGGACAGAAGCCCAGGCATCGCGTTCGCCGGGGTCCACGCGCGAGGGAAAGAGAGCCGGGCGTGGGGAGGGGAGGGCCGGGGTCTCACTCACCGGGGCCGGGGCGGGGGCCGGGCGCAGGCCGGGCCGCCAGAGTGAGCGCAGCGGCGGAGAGCAGCGCGAGGCGGGCGGCGGGCGGCGCCATGGGCCGTCAGTGCGGGACCCCCGGGCGCGGCCCGGGGCAGAGGGGGCAGCACCGGGAGCCGGGGACGGCCATGGGAGCAAGACGGAGCTCAGCGTCGCCCCGCCCCACCCGGCCGGCCCGCCCCGGCCCGCCCCGGCCCGCCCTCCTCAGCACCGCCCCGGCTGCCGGCTGCCGGCAAGGCTTCAGAACGGGGCCGACTGCGCATGCTCGCCCTGCCCCGCCGCCTGCCACTCACGCCCCCGAGCCCGCCCCCGCCTTTCCTGACCCCGCCCCCAGGGGCCGCTAGGCGAGGCCACTGGAGGTGAGGCGTCTACAGGTGAGGGTGTCCCCACGCTGAGGGTTGGCGGGGGTGACAGGCCGGGCGCCCAATGACCCCAGCTCCACCCTCACCTGGGTCGTGACCCACGCGCGGGCTCCACCACAGCAGTAGTAAACATACAGCCTTCTCTTGCTAGGCTCATGGTAGTGGTTAGCCAAGGCTTGTCAGACCCCCTCGGCTCGTATCCCACTTGGTCACTGGTAAGCTCTTGTACAAGTTTAAAGCAAACGGGGCTGCCTTCTGCTAAGTGGAGCGTCGACACCATCTGCTCCCCAAGGCGGTTGTACAAAATGAGATGTGGCCTAGAAAGAACGCACTAGCACAGCAGGAGCTCAAAAAGTGTGGAGTTCTTTCTCCTGGAGAAGTCCTGCAGCTATCAGAGCGACAGCATACCGAGCCCTGTATAGAATCCTATCGCATCCTGTGTCAACTAGGGCAACTTATTGCTCTTTAAAAAAATATTTTATTGGGGGCGTAGGGTGGGAGGAGGGGGAGGGAAATGGGAGGCTGGGAGGAGGTGGAAACTTGTTTTTAAAAATTAAAAAATTTAAAAAAAATAAGAAAAAAAATAGAAAATAAAAAAAATATTTTATTTATTGCCGGGCAGTGGTGGCGCATGCCTTTAATCCCAGCACTCAGGAGACAGAGGCAGGTGGATCTCTGTAAATTAGAGACCAGCCTGGTCTACAAAGCGAATTCCAGGACAGTCAGAGCTGTTACACAGAGGGGTAAAATATACATACATTATTTTGTCTATGTATGTGGGGGGGGGAGTGCGTGCGTGAGGTCAGAGAACCACTTGAGGGAGTCCGTTCTCCTTGTGCCATGTGAGTTCTGGGAATCGAACTTAGGCCGTCAGGTTTGATAACAAGTGCCTTTAACTGCTGAGCCATTGTACCAGTTTCTTCTTATTATTATTATTTATCATTATTTTGAGTCAGGTTCTCACTATGCAGTCCTGGCTGACTTGGAACTATGTAGATCAGACTGGCCTCGAACTCACAGAGATCTTTCTGCCTACGCTTTCTAAGTGATGGATTAAAGGTGTGTGCCCCCACTCCCCGTTAAATTATTTTTGATTATCATAAAATGAGTGACACTATTTATATATTGTATTTGCTCAACCATCAGCAAAACAGGGACAATGGAAGACCTCAAGATTCAAAGAGATAGAAGCAACTAAAATGCTCAACTCGATGGACAGGCGCTGTGTCTACTGCACACCGGAGACTGGGGCTCCCGAAAGCTGGTGGCTTAAACTTGGCCTCTGCGAGGCAGGACCTTTTCCCCTCACCCTTCTCTCCCCCACCCGCCCCATGTTTCGAATCTCCTTCCTCCTCCTCACACCCCCAGGCAGCAGGGATTTTCCTATTGCCCTCTCCTAAAACGCCACGGTGACGCATGGCGGGACAGGTCCGGGCCTCGCACCGGGAGCTTTCAAGTCCTTGGTCCTGGACAGGCAAGTGTGGGCCTGCGCCCTGATGGGCGGCAGGATCATCTGCCCTCCTGTGCCAACTCGCTGAGCCCGGAGCAGGGCTGGGCCGTCGTAGCCCTGCGAGATTCCCTGGTCTGCATGGGGTACACCCATTCCTGTGCCCCTCGCCCTCTTGCTGTGCTTGCTTTCCCCCTGCCTGGCCACAATCGCGAGGTAGCTTCCAGAGCAGGGGCCCCAAGGGCGTAGCTACCTCCCACGAGGCGCCTGCCTTTTTGTCCCTCTCCACCCACACCATCCAGAGCTGTGGCAAGAAGAATCTTGTTCAATTGTTTGTTTTCCCTGTAGTCCCTGAATTCAAGAACCTTCGGTGCTCCTGAGTGGACGCCCCCACTACCCAGTGGGCACACCCTCCACCTGCTAGTGAGAACACAGCTTCCATGTTCCACACGTGGGGCTGTTGTATAATTTTTTTACTCAGGGCCTGACATGAACCATGAGTATTGGCCATTACTAAGTAGAGTTTCTGCCCACAGTTGGAACGAGGGCGGTAAAATTATCACTTAGTATGTGATAACCGCGGAGGACTGCTAACACCGTCTCTAGAGGAAGGGCCTGTCACAGCATCCTACCCTGGGATTCCAAGCCTCACTTCTGTCCCAGGTGCTTGTGATCTCGGGAGATGCAGCTAGAGCATACAGGACTTGGAAGGCCTGCTGAAGGCAGCTCTCCACAGGGCTGTTTCTCGGAGGTTGTTACCCAAGGTAGGATAGGGCTTTTTGGTGGGATGCCTGCCTTTGAGTCACTTAAGTTCCTGTGGGAAAGCCAAATACATTTATTGGTTCACAAAACTGGGCTTGGGTGGAGTCTCCGTTGTCTACTGTCGGTGCTAAATTTAGAGCTATTGGGTGTTTGTTCAGCCTCCTCAGGAAAAACAACGCAACACCAGCCTTTTTGCTCCTCCCGCAAGACCCCAGGCCTCTGTACCCCTGACTTGAATCACCTTCAAAGGGGAGAAAATGAACAGGTAACATTGGTGCAGACTCTAGGTAGAGGTGAACCTGCTCCCCCACCCCGTCCTCAAGAAATAATCAGTAATGGGGTGGGAATGTAGCTCAGCAGAGTGTTCACCCAGTGCGCCAAAAGTCCCGAGTTCAACCCCCAGTACCAGATAAGCAAGGTGGCCGGCACACACATGCCTGTCACCTCAGCTTTTGGGAGGTAGAGGCGGGAGAAACAAGAGAGTCCAAGGTCATCATCAGATACACAAGAGCAAGGCCAGTCTGGGCTACACGACACAGTCTCAAAACAAAGATGCATAGTTAGGAACATGGGAAGTGCTGAGGACATAGTCCCTGATAGGGCAGCCCAAGTTCAGGGTGTGTGTGTGTGTCTAAGACACCCCAGAGCACTGTAGAGAAACCAGCTTAACGATGCTCGGTGCATGTTAGGCCAGCACTCTGAGTCACATCTACAACCCCAACCCTAAATATTTGTTGAAGGAAGGCAGGCTCACATCTGTCGGGAGAGAGAGAGAGAGAGAGACAGAGAGAGAGACAGAGAGAGAGAGAGAGAGAGAGAGAGAGAGAGAGAGAGAGAGCAAGCAGTAGCCTAACTTGAGTCTTTGGGTCCCATCCAAAACATGAGGATGTTTTGCACCCAAAACAACAGGGACGCTGGGGAGAAGCTCAGCAGGACAGTACTCTGCAATTTAAATTCCCTACAGTTCACTAGCCTCTGTATCTCCTTTGGGTGTCAGAGGAGAAAATAGGAAGGGAACACACAGGAGACTTAAAAACAAAGTTATTTTGGCCAACCCAAGGTGTCCAGGCTTCATGACAATAGCTTTAGACGATTCTGCTCCTGGGCTGTATAGAAAGTTGCCCTTGCAGGACAACTTTTCACTAGGCTCTGGTATAATAAGAATGGGCTCTACAGTTTGTACAGCTGAATAGGAAGTGGAAATATGGGGTTCTAGCTGGGCATGGTGGTGCATGCCTTTAATCCCAGCCCTCGGGAGGCCAGCCTGGTCTACAGACAGAGTTCTAGGACTCTTTAAAAAGATTTATTTATTTATTTATTTATTTATTTATTATGTATACAACATTCTGCCTCCATGGATGTCTGCACGCCAGAAGAGGGCGCCAGATCTCAGTACAGATGGTTGTGAGCCACCATGTGGTTGCTGGGAATTGAACTCAGGATCTTTGGAAGAACAGTCAGTGCTCTTAACCTCTGAGCCATCTCTCCAGCGCCAATAAATAAATCTTTTTTTTTTTTTTTTTGGTTTTTCGAGACAGGGTTTCTCTGTGGCTTTGGAGCCTGTCCTGGAACTAGCTCTGTAGACCAGGCTGGTCTCGAACTCACAGAGATCCGCCTGCCTCTGCCTCCCGAGTGCTGGGATTAAAGGCGTGCGCCACCATCACCCGGCATAAATAAATCTTTAAAAAATAAAAAAAAATATTAAAAAAAGAGCCAGGTGGAAGTGGTAGCGCATACCTTTAATCCCAGCACTCTGGAGGCAGAGGCAGGGAGATCTCTGAGTTCAAGTCTGGCCTGGTCTACAGAGCAAGTTCCAGGACAGGTAGAGCTATGCACAGAAATCCTGTCTTGAACACCTTCTCTCCCCCAAAAGTTGCAGCTTTTCTAAGCCCTTTGGATCTTGGTCACTACACAGGAGGCACACTCATGAAAGTGAGACCCTGTGTGTAATTCAGCCTGTGAGCGCCTGCCCATTGGGCAGTGGTGAGACAGAGGCATCCCCTGGCCTTCCCTCCCCCCACCTTCTCTCTGAAGCTAAAAGCCCAGCACAGGTGATGGAAACATCCCACGAGAGGCTAAAAATACAGCTGAGTGTGTCTAGGTCATGGCACTCACGGGCTCAAGGTCTTTTGCTCAGCTATGTGGTGTTGGCCTCCGACGGGAGCAGCCCCAGATGCTCGCTTCCGTGCTTTGCATGCCTGGGAGCTTCGGAGCCTTATTTCATGGAAAGAATGAGGACATTCATGGAAGCCCCTTGCCTTCAGGAAGATGCTGCCATCCGAGTCTATTTGCCTGTTTACACTTTCCAGTCAAGTCCTTTCCTCTTCCTGGGAGGCCTACCTAAGCTGGTGGGGTTTGGCTCAGTCTGGCATTTAAAATTGGAATGATTTTGCTCAGACACTGTCATGTTGCAGACAGCCACAACACAAGGGTGTATGGGCCAAACATCTAGAGATTTTACTTGCCAGGCGAAGTGGTACACACCTTTAAGCCCAGCACTTTAGAGGCAAAGGAAGGAAGGTCTCTGTGAGTTTGAAGCCAGCACGTCCAAACACAGGAAGCTCCATGCTATCCAGGGCTACAGAGTGAGACACTGTCTTAAAAAAATTCCTGTGCCTTGCAGTGTGTATGATCATAAGATCATATCCACAGAACCCTCCCCCAAGTGTCAAGAAGGAGGGCCCTGAGAACCAATGAGATGCTTCAGCAGAGCAAGACCCATGCCACCAAGGCTAGTGACCTGATCACTGGGACTCACATAGCAGAAAGAGAGAACTGATTCCCGTAAATTGCCATCTGACCTCCAAACTCAAGCCTTCAAGTACACGGGCACACACACATAGAAAGACACACTAAGTGAATAATGTAATTTTAAATACACACACACACACACACACACACACAAAGAGACTGGGAATATAGGTTAAGTAGAGTGCTTGTCTTGCATGCATGAAGTTGTGGGTTTCATACACGGCACTGACTAAACTGGGTGTCCATACACCTGTAATCTCAGCATTTTGGAACAGGTAAGGCAGTGGAAGGCCAGCCTTGGATGCAAAGTACAGTCTCACCAAAACTCCAGGATGAACAAAATAATTTTGTCTCTGTCTTTCTGTCTGTCTGTCTAGATCAAGCACATGGGCTTCCCCCACTGAACAACTACCCATACCCATCCGTTCCCAACATTTCAAACAAACATCGGATTGTTCTCTGGAGTTATGCCTGGCTCAGCACTGTGTTGTTTACTGAGCCTGCCTCCCCAGGTTTCTAGCTCAAGAATCTAGTGATAGGAAATTCAAGAGAGTCAGAAATCCACTGTTCTGATGGAGTATGGGAAAAGAAAGAATCTTGTCCTGGTACAAAGCACAATGTGTGGGTATGTTTGGGGGAAAATATGAAATGGAGTCATCTTGAGTTTAAAGTCAGGTGGCAACTGGCCCGAAGGTGAAGAGAGCACCAGTCACCATTTCTGGGGCAAGGCCTGTGACTGGTGACATTCAGCGCAGTCTCTAGGCCACGGTATCACAGTGCAGTACTCTCCACATTCTCTCCCAAGGTTTTCTGTCCTTTTGCACCATGGACCTCAGCTGTGTCCCCCTATGGGTGTGGGAGCTTGCTGCGTGTGTGCCAGGACAAGGGGGAATGCCACTGGAGCTCGAAGGGTGGAGCCATAAAGGGAGAAGACAAGACTCCTAAAAGCAGGCTCAGCTCTTCTTGATTAGCTGGTCTTCCAGAGAGAAAATAAGAGCTGAGAAAAACTAAAGAGAAGAAAGAAAGATTACAGGAGCTAAAAATACTAGGAAGAAAGCTTGGCTGAGTATCAGAGAAGGACAGATGTGTTTCCAAATAGAAGCATGGGCTCGCATATGTCAAGGAGCTCAGCTCAAACATGTGGGGAGCAAGGAGACCAAGCTCAGCAGAATACCATAAAAAAGGTCCGTAGAGCAGGACGCACAGGATCAAGGCGATAGGGACACCCTCCTCTCTTAACCCCAAGCACTCCTACCCAAGCACTAACCAGGCCTAACTCAGATTCCTATTGGTCAAACCATATGTGCTCAGGGTGGTACTGCCATGAAATTGATCTCACCGCCCAGATCAAATGATGATACCAAGGACCAAAACCCTCACTGCGGGTTCAGGAACCTGGGCCAAATAGTATTTGGAGCCTGACTTAAGGAGTCTAACAATCTCTGAGGGAAGACCCTCTGAGGAGCCTAACCACTTTCCTTACTGTGGCCACAGTTGCCTCTTTCCCGTGCCATCTAGCAAAGAACTTTCCAAAGATGCAGTGTTCCAGAAAATTCCACAGGCAGGTGAATCACAAGCTAATGACCAGTCTATGCTGTGGAGCTGGGGGCAGAGCTCAGTGGCCAAGCACTTACCTAGCTATCGGAGGGAGGGACGGAGGGACGGAGGGAGGGAAGGGAGGTGAGAAGAGGGAGGGAGGGAGAGAGAGAGAGGAGGTGAGATGAGGGATGCATTAATAGCCAAGCTGCGTCAGAAACCCCTTTTCTACCTGAGAGAGCCCATTGTTTGGCTTTATAAGCCAGCCTGATTCATACAAAACCCTGAGACGAGGATCATACCAAAGGTTGGATCATGCCACCTAAGACTATGGGCAGCAATGACTAGTCACAATGGAACATTAATAAAAGCATTATCTACTTTCTTTTTAAGCATTTAAGAAATATTTATTGTGTGTCAGCAGGTGTATGGAGGTCAGAGGCCAGCTTGCAGATGTGGGTTTTCTCTTTCCACTGGAGGTCAAACTCAGGTCACCAGGCACAGTGGCAAGCACTCTTGCCTGCTGAGTCATCTCAGGAGCCCTACTATCTGCTTTGAAATAGACTTTATTATTATTGCTGTTGTCATGTGTGTGTATGTATGTATGGATGGGATATAAGTATGTTGTATGTGCCGTGGCACACATGTAGGGATCTGAGGACAGCATTGTGGAGTTGGTTCTCTCTTTCCACTTTTATGTGGGTTCTGGCAATTGAACTCAAGGCAGCAGGATTGCACCGTCGGGCAGGCAGCAGGATTGCACTGTCAGGGCAGCAGGTCCGCACAGCCGGGCGGGCAGCAGGATTGCACCTTCAGCCATGCAGCAAGCATCTATTCATTGAACCATCTTTCTGACCCTCATTATCTACTTTCTCTTTAACGTGATTTATTTAAAGCTGAGTGTAGTGTCACATGACTTTAATCCCAGCACTTGTGAGGCAGAGGCAGGGAGATTTCTGTGAGTTTGAGGCCAGCCTGGTCTACATAGTGAGTTCTAGGATAGTCAAGGCTACATGGTGAGACCTTGTCTCAAAAAAAAATAGATTTATATTTATGTATACATGTGTTTCTATGAATGCATGCCATGTGTGTGGTGTCCATGGAGGATGCAGGAAAGCATTAGATTCCACAGAGTTATAGGTGTTTGTGAGCTTCTGAGAACTGAACTTGAGTTCCCTGGGAGAACAGGAAGTACTCTTTACTGCTGAGCTATGGCTGAGCCCTCTTGCTGGCTACTATCTGTAGATATATCATATCTCTCAATTCAATATGTATCACCGGAAGACAAAGTGCCATGCTTCTTCCTTCAGAATCCTAGTGCAAGGTTATCACATATTCGGCTATGTGGGCAACCGTTCCAGGAACTCCCTCTGCATTGCTTGTTCTCATGGTGAACCTTTTGGAGATGCTGTTACTATTCCTGTCTCATGGAGAAGAACATTCCAGTTCAGAGCTATGCATTCGTTTGTCTGCTGAGTTATGGATTGGGAGTACCAACTTAGATCAGAACAATTTCTGAGCCTAGAGAAACTCTTGTGACTAGACAGGACTAGACCTGAGCTCAGGGGCAGTGGCTGGATAGACCAGCCAGAGAAAAGGCAGAGTCCCTGTGACACTGTGAGTGGCCCAGAGCAAGGGCTATGCAGATTGTGGCTAGGTCTACTGGCCATAGGGCCTGGGGCATTGTTTTTGAGCAACTTGTGACTCAATTTCTTCATGTGTAAAGTAAGGGTGGTAGCAGCACCCATATCCACGTGGCTGTGGGTAGCATTTCATGACACGAGCCTGAACAGCAGCTGGCCTTCATGAAGTATTCAATAAATACTAATTTTACTGATGCAGAAGAAATAGCACAAGTGAAGTTACTAAGGGTTGGGTTAAGAATGAGGTGTACCTTTAGGGTACGGTCAACTGAAAGTGAGCCATGCTGAGTCAAAGTGGACGAGTGCCGGGCTGGAGCAATGGCCACACACTTGAGAATGCCTGAGTTTGGTTCCCAGCACCTGCATCCACATGGTGGCTCACAGCTGCCTGTAAGGGCTCTGGCATCTTCCTCTGGCCTTCATGGCCACTTGCACACACACAAATAGTAAAATAAATCTTTAAAAATAATATAAAAAATGAAGAGGGGGGCTGGGGATAGGGGTCAGTGATATAGAGTGTCTCTAGCATGTTTGATAGAGTGTGTTTCTAGCATGTTTAAGGCCCAAGGTTCAAATGGCCGGCATTGGGGAGGAGGGAGTTGTTTTGAGACACTCATGTGAATGGCTATGTGCCAGAAGGCTCCCAGTGCTTCTCAGAAGCCAAGCTGTGACTCTCCATCACTGAATGGCAAAACTAATACAGTAAACATGGTGGACAACCTTGGAAGTGAGAAAACTAAACTTGTGATGGGGAAGAATGCTAGGCATGGTGGCAAATGCCTATAATCCCAGTACTTAGGAGGCTGAGGCAGGAGGATCATGAGTTGCAGATCCCAGTCTAGGTAGCATTACACAAGGAGACTTGGGGCAGGGGAGGGGAGTTGGGGAAGGGAAGGAAAACAGAATGATTCTCACAATGGCTTCCTGTCGCTGACTAGTCTCTACCAAGCAGAGCTGAACGTAGATGGTAACAGTCTGGAGACCTACCAGCGTGGTGCCATCTCTCTAGGATTCACGGGTTTGGAAGGATGTTTGCTTGTCTGGTTTTAGATATTTGCAAACCCTTCCCAAAGACAAACCTTTTCCAATGGCCTGCTCTAAAACTGACCCACCTCTTGGGAGGTGAAGCCAGAGCTTGCTGCTGAATAGGTCTCATTGTCTTCCCAAGTGTCTGTGGGTCCAGATGCCATGGGACTGGGGGTGGCTCTACCACAGGGCAGCCTGTGTTGCGGTCGGCCTGCCAGCTTTGATTCTCTCCAGGGACAACAGCTGAAATTTCAAACAGGCAACACATGGTGATTCCAGGAGTCCCTGCCAGACTCATCCTTTGTTTTTCCATAGTGTCACTTCCCTCCCACTCTGGAAGGAGCCTTCTTTGGCGTTCTGTGTATGAGAAAAAAAAAAAATCATAACCACCAACAGGACCAGCACCTGAGAAGGGGTGAGTGAGGCATTGCCCAAGAGTTCCCAGGAAGAGGCGGTCTTTGTTCTCATTTCCAGGACTTTACAGTGCTAACAGCTCTAATTACTGCATTGGCCATGTGATGTCAAATAAAACCACAGAAACCATGTCATCTCCTTGGGCGAGAGACATAGGGAGAGGTGCTCAGGGCTGCAGGGATGAGTTCTTTCATTTCTGGTCCCTAGCCTTGGCGGCTATTTTGATCTTCTAAAGTACCCTCTTTTATGTGCACGGAGAAGGGCACTTGTGCGCACATAAGGATGTATTTCCACATCTGCACCCACATAATATGGTCTGCATGCTTGGTGGTTTTTTACACAAAGCATGCTCCCTAATAACATCAGGATTTTCTCCCAAGCCTTTAAGGGAAAATGAAGACTCCAGAAGTTCGGAGCTTTTTCTAACATCATTTGATCATAAAATCTAATTATGTAATACCTGCCCACACCCACATCACAAACCAAAGTGACATCACAAATACTGCAGTGAATGGCTCCAAACTGGCTGTGTGCCAGCCAGAATCTAGACAGTGATTTGCCTCAGATAAGACAGGTGACTAGACTAGAAATATAAAAGCAACAACAACAACAACACACACGATGGGGGGGATACACATTTCTTCCCCCTACTAATGTAGCTAAAATACAATTTAAGGCAACTGACATATGGCAAGGTAATTATTACTTTTAAAAAGATTTATTATGTGTGTGAACCTAATATGTGCACCACATATATGCAGGAGCCCAACGAAGCCAGAAACAGGCACTGGATCCCCTGGAACTGGAGTTGCAGGTGGCTATGAACCTCCATGTAGGTGATAGGAAACCTGGTCCTCTGCAAGAGCAGTCAGCTCTCGGCTGCTGCTGAGCTCTCTATTCCCTAAATTGGTAACTCGAATCTATCCATTGTTCCCTTGCTCTTAGCCAGTCCCAGGGAGTATGTTTTGGTCTTTATGGATCCCAAAGTGCATTTCCCTATTGGGTGGCTTTACCAGGCTCTTGCTATCAAGTTAGAAGGTGTATTCATGGTCCAGCAGGATTTACTTGCTGTCATCTGTGTTTGAATGTGCATGAGTTGTGACCACAGCCTTTGCAGAAATCTTGTAGGACTTGCTTTTCTTTTCTGCTTGCTATGGATTATCTTTCCAGTAGGCAAACTGTCTTATGCTCTTACCAAGCTCTTCCTGACTCCAGCTTCCTGCCCCGGCATGCTGTTCTTTAAGAACCAAAATATCATCATGACCTTTTAAAATTCACATCTTTCCCTTACTTGGTATAAAAGAGTCTAGATGAGCAGGAGGCACAACAACACGACTGCTAAGACCAGGGGTAAAGGAATAGCATGTGAAATGATGTTAGTTTCTAACATACTTTCTAATTTCTGTGTGGGAACTTCTCTTTAACAACAAAAACCACTTCCTCTTTATATTTCTAGCACCCAATTAATGTGAGACAAGAGTCCAGCATCCCTACCTATGGACAACCCATGCCATTAAACACCAAGCTTCAGGACTGCTATGTGGCTTTGCCAACATCCATGTGGGCCCCAGCACCAGGTGCCACCTCTTGTTGGGAAGTGGTAAGGAGCCATAGATTGCCTATTTGTTCTCTCTGATCAAAGTTGTGCTCAGACGACAACGGAAGGGTAAATGCCACAGTATGCCTTCTCAACTCAGAGAAGCAAAATCCTCCAAGGGACTGAAGCCATGAACGGCACATGCTACCTTTAAACGTTTTTGTTTCCAAAAGGAAGTAGCCCATATGATCCAGCCTCTCAGAACGCCTCTGTTGCAGTCTCCTCAAAATTCCGCATCCAGAACAACTTCAAAGCTGCTAGCTGAGACGGTCCAGCCTCACAGACTGTCCAGCCAGGACTTCAGATAAGCTCTACACTTTTTCATCACACAGAGACTAAACAAAAAAATGATATAACCAGCTCTCCCAGGACTTGACCATTATCCCAATTTTCTCAGGGTCCCCTAAATATGCTGTTGCCCCCAGATAGCAGGAAGCAGTCTAGAGAACAAAACACCCACATTCCCAAAAGGTGGGGTAAGTGGGTTTTGGTCATTTGGCATTTGTTATCATTTTGAGTGGTGGAGGTCACAAGTTGTTATTGGCAATGGTCAGGAAAAATGCTGAACAAAGGAGATTAATTAGATTCAAGTATCTCTTTCTCTCTCTTTTGGTTTTTTAAGACAGGGTTTCTCTGTGTAGCTTTGGAGCCTGTCCTGGAACTAGCTCTTGTAGACCAGGCTGGCCTCGAACTCACAGAGATCCGCCTGCCTCTGCCTCCCGAGTGCTGGGATTAAAGGCGTGCGCCGCCACCACCCGGCTGTTAGAAAACTTTTAACTCACCAAGATAGGATAATATTTCCTCTAAATCGTTAAATACAGATAGACTGGATATTGTAAATGTAATTCTTACCTGATAATTGTTATTACATATAGCTTTACTTGGTTAGAGTTAAAGCCGTTCCTTTTTATTTAAAGGGGATTGCTGAGGAATATTTGTTTATACTGTGATGTCTCTTTGCCAAGGCACTGAATAGCCAATAGCTAGGCAGGAAGAGGTTAGGGAAGTCTTCTGGAACATGGAGGACTCTGGAAGGAGAAAGGTAGAGACATGAGGAGACACAGAGAATGGGATTCGCAAGATGGAAGAGAGGTAATGCCATGTGATGGGACGTAGATGAACATAAATGGGTTAAATCAGAATAGCTAGTTAGGAACAAGCCTAAGTTATAGGCTAAGCGTTCATAATTTTAAAAAGTCTGTGTCATTATTTGGGAGTTGACTTGTTACAGGCACAGAGAGACACAGAACAAGAAAGGCCAGCAGGCCAGCTACTGGGCACTCCAGAGCACAGAGGGCCAGCAGGCCGTACCAGAGAGGTAACCAGTGACCAGTGGTGATGAGATGGGTTGGGGAAGGAAAAGCTCAAGGCAGAGATTTTACCATACAGATTTATATATCCAGGCGATGAAAATCCTGACTCATGTATCCACACCTACGGTACCAATAGCCTGTGAAATTGCATTCAGAGAACTTGTCTCGCCAGAGGCCTAACCTGATGAATCCAGTTCTGTTGTTTCATGGTGGCCGGCAGAGCTCAGAGTATGTTCAAATCCCAACTCTGACAAACCATTGTCTTGATTTTATCCTATAAACTGACACTGGCCCTTCTCTCACAGGGTTCCATGAAGACTAAATGAATTAATAGATGCAAAGGCCTTTTGAACAGTTTGGCAAAGAATGAATAACTAGGAGCCCGCTTAGTGTGCAATAGATGTCAGTTGTGGTTATGAGCTTCTTAAGCTCTGCGGCTTTGGGCAAACCAGTGCTCATTTCCCCACCTTTCAGTCTGTCTCAGTGGACTTCACGGGGTTCTAGAGACGACAAACAGTGCCTTATGCGAAAGTATTTGGTAACTAGACTGTGCTAGGAGCATGCTGGTTGTTGCCACAGTGAAGATTCTGAGACACAAATCCCTGATTATTCTGAGCTCCCAAGTTTGAACTTCGACGTCTCTGCTTTCTTCTTGGCGTTGAGTAAAGAAAGTTCAAAGGAAAAAAAGTAACAGTCAGCCAAGATCTTGAGGATAGATACGCCAAATATGCAGCTGCTACCCAAGTGTTGTCCAGGGGCAGTGGGATGACAGCCTGGAAGGTTGCTTCCTGAAACCCAAGAGGGGCAGCAGCTGGAGGACATGCCAATCAACCATGGCATCAGGCTCTGCACCATGCTGTGGTGGAGTCCCCGTTGTGAGATCCTTCTAAAACCCCAAGAGGTACAGACTGGAGCTAGGTAAAGCCATTAAACAAAGGCTCCAAGAAGCTCTGCACAGTCAGCTGCCACCAGGAGTGCAGAGAGGAACCTGGAGCTGAGTGGGGAGCATGGCTGCTGTCCCTGATGAATGAATGGCCCAAGCTAAGATGAAAACTAACGGGAACTCATAGGATTGAAGTGTCCTCTGCAGTGGGTCTGAAAAATAAACTGTACCCTTCACCCAATCTCAAGGTGTAGTAACTACCCTCCCTGGGAAAAGAGACGAAGTCCCCAGGCTTTATTATTATTATTTGGAGATAGACTCTCTCTACATAGACCTGTTCTAGAACTCACTATGTATATCAGGCTGGCCTTATACTCAGAAATCCACCTGCTTTTGTCTCCCAAGCACAAGAATTAAAGTTGTAAGCCACCATGCCCAGCTGGGTTTTTGGGGTGGTGGTGTGGGGGGTGAGGATATGGGGTAGGGCAAGGCAGCTATGGGGGATTGAACCTAGAGCCTTGATTGCTGGCACTCTATCACTAGGCTGAATACTGAGCACATTTACTTTTTTTGAGACAGGGTTGCATTGAATTGCACAGGCTAGCCTTGAATGCACTCTGTAGTCCAGGCTGGCCTGGAAGTTGTGGTCATCTTGCTTTAGGCTCCTGTCACACACTGCTATGCAAGGATAAAGCCCACAGACTCTAGCCAACTCTGATGACTGGAAACGCCTCACAACTTGGACTCTTAACAGAAGCAGAAGTTCACAGGGAGTCTCTGAATAACAGTGCTCAGAACACTGGCTTGTATAAAGTAGCAGACTCTAGACTTCAGCCGACCACAGCAATGACCACATGTAACACATACTTGATAAAATTGTATTTTTTTACAGTCATTTGTACAATTTGTTACAAAACCATAGAAGACTACAACTTGCTTTAAATCATTTTTGGTCTGCAAATATGTAAAATCTGTGTGCAATTATCATGTATTTACAGGGTCTTGTTAGTCATTTTCAATGATTATTTCAACAATATCACACTCTCAACATAAGACATGGCTTAAGATAAATATATTAGTAAATAAATATTCTGAGAACATATTTCCATAAATGAAATGTGTTGCTATACATATACAGAATATACATAAGTTGTTTTCTAGCTTTAAAAACAGTTTTTCAAATGGTAATGTTGAAAAGAGCCCTTAGATCATTTTATCACAAAGCCTTTACAGCAAAGTCTTTACAAAAGTCTTAAGTGCTATGGAAGAAATTTTTTTTAAAAAAAGTGTCTCGTTAGACCAACAATACAAAAAGTTTATGGAAGGAACAGAAAAAGGCTGATCAGTTTAAAAGATGATACTTTCAACTAATTCTTTTATAGACCCACATTTAAAAAACATTAGTCCTGTGTGAACTTTGAGATCAGAAGACACAGGGGCAGGCTTGAACCACAGGACTAAAGATGGAATCTAATAAAATGACCTGGGCCTGGAGGAGAGGAACTGTGAGCCAAAGGAGCTGTGAAGAGGTATCTCACGGATCAGAATGCCCAACCTTTCCTTTTCATCTGGCTCTAGACTGCTACAGTTGACATGGCTGTTTTACACCCAGGGGTGGTATCAAGTTTATACTAGCTATCACACACACTTAGATGGTACAAAGGTTCCCAGGGGAAAGTGAGGTGCTCCTTGTCCATGATTATGCAATTACCACACACTACTGATCTATTTCTGCCTCCCCCTCCTCGAAAGAGGGTACTTGGAACTTCAAAGACACAATTTCTTTTTATTGAAATGGTGACATGAGACAGTTGACAGGTGATTTTGTTCTGGTCTGATGAGGGAACACAAAGATGGTGATTACTTCTAAATCTTCCTTTTGTTTCTACTACCCCCAAACTACAACAACTACAAGTGCTTGTCCCCCACCACTGCCACTCTTTCAGAGGATAGCTGGACCTGTTCATCTGACTTCTTCCAGTGGCATTCAAATTCTCTATTCTTTTCTGTCTTAAGACTATTGAGAAGTGGTTTTCTAGCCAGGGCAAAGACAAGTCTTTCTGGGGTTTGTTTCAGCCAAGGGAGAGATATGCACATGCAGACACTAAAAATGGAAAAAAAAAAGTACAACCTGAAAAAACAAACATTTCGACAGTAAGAAGCTGCAGCTTTGCAGTTCATGTTAAAAGCTGTGCCCCATTCCCACTGCAAAGTAATGCAAGCTCTTGTTCTTAGCAGCTGCAACTCCTGGCCCCAGAAATAAAGGCAACCCCGATCACATGTCAACAGCTTAGGCCCTTCTCACACCCTCACCAACAGGTGCACTGAGCACAGCCTGGAGGAGGAGCCTTCAAGCAACAGACCCCCAGAGTTGGGCGGAAGAACAGATTTTATGAAAGCCACTTCCTAAAGGGTGAATGGCTGGATCACCTGATGTGGGGACTTCTTTCTGTCAGATCCTGGCTAGAAAAAAGTCAATGTCCTCATCTAAAGACGGGGTTCTAAAGAACAAAGCATTCCGATGGTCTCAAACTGTGTAGTCTGGCCCCTGGATTGACTTCCTGGGAGTCTGACTGGAAGAGGGGTCATTTCTATCTCTGGTAACATAGGGTAGTCCCTGTTTCCCCAGGTTTCAAGGTTCCCATTCTGTAACTGAGCTTTCAGATCCACTAGGCCAAACTCTTTCCGATGGCAAAAGATATCGGCTAAATGAATGAATAAAAGTGACCAGAAAAGCTACTGACACAGGGCCAACCCGATTAGTTTCCTCTAAGGAAAAGAAAAACATTTTTTTAAGAAAAAGGACTATATTGGACAAAAAGGATTACAATCCCTGAAGTAGTTTTCAATAAATTCTCTCCCTTTTAAAAACAAAACATCTTAAAAACAACAAGAACGACAAAAACAACCAAAAAAAAAAATGGTTTGGGTTTAAAAAACTCCCTTCCCCTTAAAAAAGAAGAGGCCGGGAAAAAACATACAAAAGGCTACCCTTTGGGTCTGAACTATCTGATAGTCTGTCTCGTGGAGAATCAGTACATAATAAATAGTGCATCAGGCAGACAGGCTAGCAGACCTCTGCTGGTGGGGTGAGCCACTGCAGTTACCAGGCAGAGGCCCAAAGAGCCCTGAGGCCTTTTTCTGGGGTTGGAAAATTGATTCAAATGAAGTTTAGTGCACGCCCCCATGGGTCAAGTATATGTTGACTAGAAAGGCAACCAAAGGGGGCAGTAGCTGGGGGGGGTGTGGCTGCCCCTAGACCCATGGGCACAGGTGTGTCCCAGCATGCCTTTTTTCAAGGGGCGGTGTACTGCTGCTGGGTGAGAGGAGCACTTGTTTCTCCAGTCCCATAGGACACCAAGGCCACAAAGCAACATTCCTCCTGGGTGTCTGTCCTGCACACCCCATTCAAATCACCTCTGCAATTGATGGCACAAAGTCCAGAACAATTTTACAGAACTTGAGAGCTGGACAGTAAAGGGGAGAGTTTCTCTTCCTTGCCACAGTGGTCAGAATGCAGGAGAGGGCCTAGTGACAGGACTGGTCAGTCTTGGATTCTGCTGGGACAAAGGTGATGACCCAAAGGAACAGAAGACAATGGGCACAATGCTCCCCAACAACCTGGGGCATAGGCAACAATGGTTTGACACCTCTCCTTTCCCTCCTGTTCCTAGCAGTTCCATGGTTGCCTACAAGGTTTGGGCAGGAGAGGTAGAGCTTCCCAGAAGCCCTGAAGTCCAGATTTGCTTCAAAAAAGGGAAAAAGGAGAGGCAGCTTTGCATTGTTCCTCGGAGTTTGTACCCCTATCAACTAGCTTTTTACTTCAAGTTTCTGGTTCATTTTCAATAAGGCAGGTGTAACCCTGAGCTTTTCAAAGGCCTGAGGTCCCACCAAGGAGACAACAGTATCGACACATGATGTGGTTCATTTAATGCAGCAGTGATCTTTTTTCATCAAAAGTTGGTGGTTAGGGTTCTTTAAAATATATATTTAAATAACTTTTTACATTTATATATAACATCTTAGAAAAAAAAAGAGAACTCAATCCCACACACCTCAGAACCCCAAACACACATTACAAAACAGAATAACACATTATTAAAAGAGACAAAGGACTCAAGAGATTTTGTCTGTTGGTTTGTTAATGGGAAGGGGATGCCACAGGAGGCTCACATTTTGGGTTGAGAAGGGCTCTCTTTATTACCACTTTTGTGTTTGTCAAAACTAATATATATATATATTAATATACTAATATATATATTATGTACTAATATATATATTAGTTTTGAAGGAAGCCAGACTTAGAAGTCTCCGTACAGTTTCCGATTTTTACAAAAGAGTTCCTTCTGAGCTCAAGCTCCCGTACCGATGCCTGGGCCAGATCCTGGTCCTGGGAGAGAGAGGGAGAAGAGTCAAGGTTGTGGAGAGCTGGCACAGCAGGCTTTGGGCAGTATGTACCAAGTAAGGTGGGCTCTTGGAAGTGGCAGTTCACAATGGTGGGTGGACTATGTGAGTGGCAGGGGGAGGGATAGCAATGGCTTCTTTCCTGAGGGGCTCAAGTCTACACAGTTGTCTCTGGGGACAGGTCTTCCTTTTTTAGCTATACAGTCTTCTGGAAGTACTAAGATGTCATGGAATCATAATGTAGAAAACTGAATTCCTAGTGGCACTGAAGAAGCAGGGAAGACAGATCACACAGATCTTCCCACAAGGACTTAGGGAAGAGCAGAGGGAGCAAGAGAGACACTGATAAGGAAAGGAAGGCCACTGAGCTGAGATCTAGAGAGGTCTAGAGATGTAAATGAACCTGACATGCTGCAGGGATCAAAGGGAGAAGCTCCACTTAGAAGATATCTTATGTGTATGCCTTTAATCCCAGCACTTGGGAGGCAGAGGCAGGGAGATCTTCTGAATTCAAGGCCACTCTGGTCTACAGAGTTGAGTTCTAGGACATTCAGGGCTACACAGAAAAACCCTGTTTCAAAAAACCAAAAATCAAACCCAAACCAAATCAAACCAAAAACCAACCAAACAACCTCCCTCCCTGTCAAAGGACATCTTATAAAGGGAATGAGTCATTACAGTGTTTCTAGTGTAAGGATGGTGACTTAGGTCACCCAAATGGGACAGTAGGCAAGTACAGCGAGGTCTGTCGGGAGGACTTTGCTAAGAAGCACAGGGATGGACTAAGGGGACCATAGGAGATGCAGAACAGTTGATGAAATTGCGATTCCTATTGGGTGTGAAGTATCTGAAGGGAAGAGATGCCAACATCATGGGATTTGAGGATGGGTGGAGCTAAGAAGCAACGTTTGAAAACTATCAGGTACAGAAGCCAAGTCACAGAAGAAGCCAAACAGAAAAGGCCTGAGAAGAGAACCCCTATACAAATACCTACTATCATCTGCTCTCACCTGAAGCCTCAGCAGCCAGGGCATGGGACTCCTGAGTGTCCTGGGGAGCACTGGAGAGGCTAGCCCTGGAAGCATCCGCCTCCTCTGGAGAGCAGCCAGGCTGCAGTGGCACCTCAGCTTGGTAGCATGGAGCCTTTTCCTCTTCCCGAGTTGTCCCTAGACTCCAGTGGAGTCTGGGGACGTCCAAGCCCAGCATCCCACCCCAGGGGCTGTGGCTATGTATCACTTGACAGTCTTGAGGCAAGCCCAAGTCACAATCTACATCCTCTGGAATAATGGGGATACGCTGGCTCAGATCCCGGGCTCCTGCATAGCAGCTGGGTGGGGGTTCCTCAGTGAGTGTGTATTGCACACTCACCGAATAGTCTTCAGTGTAGCAGCCATTGCCCCTGCCAGCACTGTGGGCCACCTGCTTCTCTTCATAGAAGCAGCAGGGCAGGCCCTCATATTTTACCCCATCTGTCCTGGGAAAATGGTCTGAGTGAAGGCCATACAGGCCTTGGGAGCTCCCTGGTTGTGGCTCCCCACTTGTAGGGTTGCAGTCTTCAAGGAGCCGGGGACCCAGGAATAAGGTGCTGCCACCAGAAGCTGCTCCTGTCCCAGGGCCCAGGGAAGAGGGCTGGGGATCAAAGCAGCAAGCACATGATGGTCCCTCTGGACCCCCTTTCCAGGTCCTCCTGAGGTCCAGGGCAGCCCCAGGAGAAACCTCGAGCCCCACTTCTGAGGTAGAGCTGTTGGGCCCTCTGGGTTCCAGCGAGGAGTTGCTGCTGTAGTTCATCTCCAGGCTGCAGGTGGACAGCTGGTCCCCTGAGGGAGAGGCAGGGCCTAGCCAAGGCTCACCCCGCCCAGCACCTTGACTGTGTGCTGCTGGGAGCTCCTCTGGTGGTGGGGAGCCCTCAAGATGTACAGCAGGCCCCCGGCTGCGGTAGATGAAGGGGTCATAGTCACTGCTGAGGGAGCTGCGGAAGGTGGAACAGCTCCCATATACACCTTGGTTGCTGACTTCTGTGCAGTCCACCACGGAGTCACTGGAAGAGCAGCGGCACTGACCAGAGCTGTTACTGCTGCTATCACTGCCAGGACAGTCTGCCAGATAGCCACTGCACACAGAACGGTGCCCATGGTAGCAGCTGAAGCTGGAAGAGCTGCCGCTCTCCACGTGGGTGGGAGGGGCCATGTGCACCACAGTGGGGAAGAGCAGGCTACTGCCACCATTTGGTGGGAAGGCACGGGATGGACCCCTGGGTGCAAGGCTGGGAATAGGCTGGCCCTCCTGCTCTGGATAGCTGAGACCCTGGAAGTAGTAGTGTTGGTACATGGTCTCATACTGGGAGAAGCAAGCTGCCTTGGAGAAGCTGCGGCCACTGAACTTGGGCCTGCGGAAGGGATGGGCTGGTGAGTAGGCCCGGTGTTCCAGGCTGCAGCGGTGAGGGGCCAGAGTGTGGTCCAGGTGCAGGGATGGGTAGCCACGGATATAGGTAGGGGTCTGTGGAGAATAGAGGTTCTGCTCCCCATGCCGGTCCATGGTCAGCAGTGTGACAGGATTGCCATGGGAGTCCATACTTGTCCTGGTAGGGTAGGCTGGGATGGCGTTGGTCCTATGCACACGGCCTGGGTAATGTACTGGCAGGGTCACTCTTGGCTGACGACCACGTGTAAGGTTGCTGGTCTCAACACAAACAGCACCCGGATTTCCCTTTTGTTCTGGAAGAGGAGGAAACAAGGTAATGGGTCAGAGCCTGAAGCATCAAGTAAAGCCAAGTGCCAGGCAGTCTATGCTTGACCCTGCCACATTGTAAGCTGTCTTCAAATTCAGCTGAGCTGACGGAGGCTGACTTGTCTCTTTTCCTGTCTCCCCACACAGAGTACAGAGAGCAAAACACAAAGATAGTGTCTCCCACCCTGCCCTGTAATGATGACAGGGGTAGAACAACAAATACTGTTACTGCATATTCATCATCCCTTGTGTCCCTGGAAACAACCCTGTAGTCTAGGCCTGGGCAGTCAACATTACTGCCATCTGTTAAAGAGACAGGGCTTTTGGCCTAGGGAGGCTAGGCCAGGATGCTAGGGTCTGTTGTTTTCTACTTTCCTCAGACATGTACCCGAGCCTGGCCTCCAACTTGCTACGTAGCTAAAGATGACCTTGAACTCCTGCGTCTACTTCCCAAGTGCTGGGTATACCATGTGTATACCATATACCCAGCCAGTGTCCTATTTAATTGGAAACTCAAACTTGAACGCAAGATGATTTTCTTGGGCGGTGTTGTGTGTGTGTGTGTGTGTGTGTAGCCTGTGATTTTGCACAATCTAGGCAACAGTCTCTTACTGAGCCTCGTCACCTGCCCCTAAAAGTGATCCTTAATGCCAAGCTCTGCTTAGAATTGTGCAGCCAAGTTTCAAAACCTAATGCTTACACACCTACAGATCCAGAAGACCATGCCGTGTTGGTTCAGTTTGTTCATGAGTCTACAGCATGCATTAAGCACTTATCATACTTTGAAGGGAAAGTGTCCTCCAAGATCTGCAACAATTACCTATGATGTTGTGCCGACAGTGGGGGCAAGTGTGGTGCTGCAGCAGCCATGGATCCACACACTTCCTGTGGAACCGATGGGTACAGGGGATGACCCGAAGTTCCTGCAAAGGGAAAGAGGGGGACATAGCATGAAGAATGGACTGAAGGGAGGGACTTATGCCTTCAGTCTCACACATGTGCCTCCTCCAATGTATCCTATGGGTGACAGAATGTGCTGGTGCCCTCCTGCTAAAAGATGAATCTTAAGTGTTCCTAGATGAGCAGTACCAGGAAAGAGAGGGCCTAGTGGGACCTTGTTTCCCTCTGCTTCTCTTTTGTGTCCTTCTGGTAAGCAATGCTGAAGAGTTACTTATTTTTTTATTTCTTTAGGGTTTTTTTTTTTTTTTTTTTTTTTTTTAGACAGGATTTCTCTGTGTAGCCCTGCTGTCCTGAAACTCAGAGACCTACCTGTCTGCCTGTGCCTTTTGAGTGCTGGGATTAAAGGCGTGTGCCACCAATACCTGGTTTATTTATTTATTTTTAAGCTAGATGACCATCCATCCATCCATCCATCCATCTATTATGTATACAGTGTTCTGCCTGCATGTATACCTGAACACCAGAAGAGGGCACCAGATCTCATTAAAGATGGTTGTGAGCCACTATGTGGTTGCTAGGAACTGAACCCAGGACCTCTGGAAGAGAAGCCAGTGCTCTTAACTTCTGAGCCATCTCTCCAACCCCAGATGATAAATTTTATTAGAGATGAAGAGGGAACTTTCAGGATAGGAAAGCAGTGTATCTCAGAAGTTGCTCAGGAGAATGGAGCAGAAAAGGGAGTTCATGTTGCTAGAGTTAGGCTGGCACAGAGGTCAGATACATGGAGAAAGAACAAAGAAAAAGAATAAGAAAAGGTACATTTTTCTGAGTAATTCAGAAACAGGCAGACATACAAAGCAGCACAGCTGCATTCTGCACAAGACTGCGTTAATTTTTACTTTTAGTTTTTTGAATGCGTGCTTACATGTTTGTACTGAGTGTATGTATGTGAATGTAGTTGCCTGAGGGGGTACTAGTCCCCTGGAGCTAGAGCTGCAGGTAGGTATGAATCACTCAACACAGGTTTTAGGAACAGAACTCGGATCCTCTCCGAGAGAAGCATGTGCTCCTAACCACTGTGGTATCTCCAGTCCGATCCATCACATGTTTTCGTCATGATATGCTGCCTCCTTGTTTGCAGTCAAACTGTCCAAAAACTATGTGCTCAAACAAACTTTTACTCTTTATATGTTTATTATGCGGCTATTTGTTATAGGAATGGAAAGTTAAAACACTGTACTCTCTCCCCTAATTCCAACTAAGGGCCAGTTTCATTCCTTCAAGTAGGGCCCATAGGGAGAAGGAAACTGAAACTGTCCAATTTACGTGGCCTAATCATAGTCTTCAGGGTTAAAGGACAAGGAAGGCAAGGAAGTGGGTTCCTTTCGAGGAGTTGGAGGGCACACCTAAGTTCAAAGCCTCAGGCTAGAGAGTATGGGGTTTGCAGGGAGAGTTACAAACACCCTAGGTCATCTATGTTGATGTAGAGCAGTGGTTCTCAGTCTTCGGGTTGCGACACACCAAACCATCTGAAAACACAGATATTTACATCACAACTCATAACAGTAACAAAATTACAGTTATGAAAGAGCAACGAAAATAATTTTATGGGCTGGAGAGATGGCTCAGTGGTTAAGAGCATTGCCTGCTCTTCCAAGGGTCATGAGTTCAATTCCCGGCAACCACATGGTGGCTCACAACCATCTGTAATGAGGTCTGCTGCTCTCTTCTGGTCTGCAGACATACACACAGAGAGAATATTGTATACTGTATACATAATAAATAAATAAATAAATATTAAAAAAAAGAAAACAATTTTATGGTTGGGGGTCACCACACATGAGGAACTATATTAAAGGGTTGTAGCATTAGGAAGGCTGAGAGTCACTGAACCATATACAGACGGTTGCTTCTTGGCACTTTTGAAGGAGGTCAAGTACAAAGAACACTTGCTGGGGCCACCTAGCTTCAGAGGAAAGCAGTATATGACAGAATGTGATGGCTTTCCAAGTATCATCATGACTATTCCTGCTGCTTTGCTTTTATTTTCTCACAAGTCTGACACAGTGATATTCACACTAATAACCAATGTGCTTTAGAATGCCTGTGTCTTCTCACCTAAGTAGCCTTTGTGAGCGTCTAGTATGCTGGTTCAGATCATCAATGCAGACACTGGATAAAGTCACTTGCCAAACCAAGAACCTGCCTGGGCTAGGTTGGAACCCTGGGCTAGGTCGGAACCCTGGGTTAGGTTGGAACCCTGGGCTAGGTGGGGACCCTGGGCTAGGTGGGAACCCTGGGCTAGGTGGGGACCCTGGGCTAGGTGGGAACCCTGGGCTAGGTGGGGACCCTGGGCTAGGTGGGAACCCTGGGCTAGGTCTGTACCTACAGTCCATGCAAGAGCACCATTCCAAGTGCCTGTGTGCAAACACACTTCTGTCCAGCAATCTATATATGAGGGGCTATCCAAGGCCTGAACTCTCAAACAGTTTGCACCACCCCCACCCCAACTCTTTTGTGTGTACCTGTCCAACTGGAGATAGGCACAAAGTAACAAAGCGCTAATGATGGGTAGTTATAGGTGAATGGTCTATGCTGCTCCTAGTACTTTAATTCCAACTTTTAATAAAGAGCCACAAGTGAAAACAAAGGCATCAAATCTCTTGACTTTTTCCGAGTAAACATACCACATAACCACTTCTTCAAAGCAAAGCAAACAACTTGTTCTTGCATCTACGTATTTTCTGTCTAACCATGTACTTTTTTGCTTATTTGTTTTGTTTTGTTGTTGGAGTCATGACCTTAAACTCACAATTCTTCTGATTAGCCTCTCAAGTGCTATAATGATTGCCACGTGCTACCATGCGTGGCATTCATGTACTTCTGATTAACTTCTAAAGTCACCCACTTAGGTAGACCATCTATAGACTATTATGTCTTCCCAGGTCCTAGGAGAAATACCTTTAAAAGCCTGGACATTGAATCAAGGTTGTAGGGAACTCTGGTCATGGTGGTCCCCAGCACCTCTGGGGACTGTATATCCCCTCCCCACCCAAGACAGGTCCTGTCTCTAACATTACCTCTCCATCAATGTACTTCTCCAGACAGATAGCACAGTCAGATGTGGAGCCACTGCTAAGTGTATCCAGGGCCCCACAGCTTCCTTCCCGGCGCCCCTTGCTTTTGGAGTTGAACTTTCTGGTTTCCATCTTCTCCAGAGCCTGCACGGCCAACCTGTTCATGGAATTCTGCAAGGAAGAACATGGTCAGTGTTGGTACATATTAATAGTAGTATTCACACCCCAGGCCAATGCACTCAGGACACTGGGACAGAAAATACTAGTCTCACTCAGGTCAAACAGATTCTTGAGAAACTGTTCAAAACTCATCCTGCCACTGTATTGCACAGACCCTTTAGAGTGCCCATGACATTCGTCTAGGATTTTTCACAAGTGACCCTACTCCAAAGTCTTGCCTTCAAGGTAAAAGGCAATTCTCTGTTTCTGGTACTTGCCAACTCTGTGGGACTTTGGTTTTTAGAAGGCTCAATGTCAAATACCTCTTTGGTGAGGGAAATGAGCGTTTAGATGAGTGCTCAGCATCTGACACAGTGTGAGTGGATAAATACTAGCCAATAATCCCTGTTTTTGCTGGTGATGGCCCCTCAGACCTCCTGACAACTGAAACCATTTTTCTTTTGACTGTCACTCTCCAAGGTACCTTCTCGCCAAGGTGTCACATTGCCACACATTTCAGTCTATCCTCCTGCTTCCCCTCCTCTCTCCACCCTCAGCCTGCAGATCTTTCTTGTAAGCAGCAGTACTAGTATGGCTACCTGTTTATCAAGAGTCATCATAAGGGCCTGGCAGAGGTAAATTTCATCACAAGACCTTGGGACCTGACAGTCTGTATTTCTACCCAACCCTAAATCTACCCGAGGAGCAAAGGTCTCATGTTCCAAAACAAAATTTTATTTGGACATTTCCTTCAAAATACTCGCTTGGAATACCCCCAATGAAGAGGCCTTTTCAGGCTTGCCCCTCTCAACACTAGGGCTCAGCACTTGAGGTCTGGCATTCTCCAGAACACTGAGAAAGGAAGGGGAGCAAGAACAGCAGGTTGGCTAGACCTCTAACTTTCATCAGCAACAGAGTAACGGGGTTCACAAGTTGCTCTTAGGGGTTACCTGACTACGACGCTGCTTCAGCTTGATTTTGACAAGGAGAATGAGGCAAACCAGGGAGACGACGACGAAGAAAGCCAGGAAAATCCCCATGTCAAAGTACTCAGTGGGTTGCTAGAATAGAACACAAATGCCATGAGCCATGTTCTCTTTGGCCTGATTGTGGGCATGTGGGCTGTCAGTCCTGGTCAGGAAATGGAGTGGAAGAGTGAGGACAGGATCCCTCAGTGTGTAGGAAGCTTGTGGGGTTCTGCTCATATGAACACAGTGATAGTGCCTTAATGTGGCCAGGATGGGGGTGGGGGAGTTATAGTAGCCTCATACCTCCTAATAGCCGAGAGAGCCATCTGTAAAGTTTAGTCTCCCATTAAAACAGCGCAAAGTTTGGTATACCTTGTGAGAAAAGCCCCTCTGAATAAACACAAATAATCACAGTTATAGACAAAGGAGTGAGTGTTGTGTTTTGAGGGAACAGTGATTACTAAGCATATAATTAATGGTTTACAACAACTTAGAAAATTGTATGGTGCTTCCACAAAAATCAGCTTCCACTACAATGAGTCACGTTTGCCCAAGAGTTCCTTCTTCCTTTAAAATGAAGACAGCAAGTCAGTTCTGCAAACGTCTTGTTTCTTTTCTTGGTGTGGGGTAGGGGTTGGCATTTATCCTAAGCTGGTCTTACCTTGCTATGGAGCTGAAGATGACCCTGAATTAATTTCTTTCTCTTTCTTTCTTTCTTTCTTTCTTTCTTTCTTTCTTTTCTTTCCTTTTCTTTCTTTTTTTCTTTCTTTTTTTTGGTTTTTCGAGACAGGGTTTCTCTGTGGTTTTGGAGCCTGTCCTGGAACTAGCTCTTGTAGACCAGGCTGGTCTCGAACTCACAGAGATCCGCCTGCCTCTGCCTCCCGAGTGCTGGGATTAAAGGCGTGCGCCACCACCACCCGGCGACCCTGAATTTCTAACCCTACCACCACTCACCTTCTAAATGTTGGAATCACAGCTGTGCCATGACAGCAACTTTATGTAGTGCTGGGCTTTGTGGATGCTAGGCAAGTCCTCTACCTACTGAGATGTGCTTGGCAGCTCTTATCTTTTTCACACAAAGAACACTGACTTCTGCTATCTGAAGCTGCTACACCTCGGATATCCATTTAGCCAGTAAGAATAGGAACCTAGTAAGATGCTGTGCTACCCAGACACTTGGTGCAGGAGGAAGAATCATTCTACATGGGAACAGTTCAGTAACTGTGAAGAGGGAAGAAAACATATATGGGCATCAGCCCCAGATTCCAAGGTTGAGGAGAAGATGTCAGTCAAGTATCAGTGGGCAGTACTACTGTTTCAGTACAATGAAGTGATGCCTGACTGCTACTCATCACCAACCAATGTCAGTCCCACATCTGAGAAATTCTTAACATTCGTATTTGTGAGTCAGTGATCTACCCGATTGGAGAAGGAAGTATAGGCCTTTTCTTCTTCTAGGTCAAATGACAGGAAAGAGACAAAGGGAAACAAGTGCTAAATGTGTCATCCCTTCATTTTTTCAGCTTGTCTCTCAGAAGGATAGGCTAAAAGGGGCAACGGCAGATGAGTGACACCAGAGACTTCATAGCATACAGTGTCTATTTCTGTAAGCTTTTACATTTTTTTTTTTTTACAAATAAAGAAATTTAGTGAAAATTTCTGTTTTCCTGTCCTATAGCTGAGCTCAACCCATAGGAACAGATACTATGCCAGCATTCTAGATATAGGGACAAGATGGCTGAAAGCCAAAGCTCAAAGGAAATGAAGGCACCGACCGGTAGGCAACAGACAAGTTACCACTCACTCGAGGAGGGAGGTGCTGGATCCTTGCTCGAGCGACTTTCTGCTTGTTGACAATGTTCATCAGCTTGATGGCATCTGCACCCTTCACATATACCACTGGCCTCTTAAGAGGGTCTTCTGAGCCTTGGTTTAGCTGGCAAGAAAGAGAGGGCACCAATTAAAAGACATGCTTACTTTAAGAAGCAAGAGAGGCTTGGTGGTGTTGGCATACACCTTCAATCTCAGTACTCAGGAGCCAGAGGTAGGAGGATCTCTGTGAGTTTGAGGCCAGACTGGTCTATAGACTGAGTTCCAGGACAGGCTCCATAGCTACAGAGAAACCCTGTCTCAAAAAACAAACAAACAAACAAAAGAAAAAGAAAAGAAAGGAAAGAAAAAGCAAGAGAGTTTGGGATATGGCTCTGTGGTAGAGCACTTGTCTGGCAATGCAAGGTCTAGCTTTCATCACACACACACACACACACACACACACACACACACACACACACACACACGTGTGTGTGTTTTATGAATGCATACACAAGAAAGAACATTAAATCCCCACTTGGTCATCTTGAAGTCTTCAATCATTATAGACTTGGGATTCCCAGAAAGGCGAGGATAGAGTGCTATACTTGTTTTAAGATGGGCTGAGCTGGCTGAAAGTCCCCAAGACTATTTGAAAATGTCCCTTATCCCTAACTCCTGACCCATAACCACCTTCTATATGCCTCCCTCAGGAAATGATACTCAAACACAGGCATATTACTTCAGCAGATAGGTGCAAAGAATCTGAGACAAGGATGTCACAACAGTGCCCACTCAATATAACCACAGCAAATTCCTCTCAGGCAGACAGTAGGAATGATTTTGGTGGAGATTTATTTACCTGGTCAATGGCTTCTGGGTTTTCAGATACATCAAAGATAACTGCAGTGGCTCCCCGCTGAACTGCTCTCTTGGCCTGGAACATGAAAAAGAGAAGGTTGGCAACTCTGTCCCCACCTGCCCTGAGCCAGGGTTTCTCTGTATAATAGCCTTAGCTGTCCTGGAACTAGCTCTTGTAGACCAGATTGGCCTCAAACTCACAGAGATCTACTTGCCTCTGCCTCTCAAGTTCTGGGGTTAAAGGTGTGCACCACCACTGCCCAGCCCAGCAATTCTGTCTTTTGACCCTAAAAATACTGGACTCATAAATCAGGCATGGCTTCTAATGCAGAACCAGAGAGTAAGCAATATCTGTGCCTCTGAGCAAGTTGTTCTACTTCTCCAAGACTTGATATTCTAATCTGAAAAACAGGAGATATAGCCACTTACTGTGTCCTATCATCCCAATAGTCTGGTGACTTAGAATGGGTGGAAATGAGTAACTGACTACTGCAAAGCCTTCCTTTCCTATCTAGCTGGAATATTAAAAACAAGTCGATGGATGGGCAGTTTGCCCAGCCAGTGCAGAGGTACTGGTTTTGATATTTTCTGCTATGAACACACTGCCCCTGGCAACCAGAGTAAATGCCTTTGGTTTGTCTCTTGTGGTCCTTTCTTCCTTCCCATGCTATCCAGTGAGAATAGCATGTTGACTACTACTGAATGAATCTCAAAGTGGTCACTTTTAACATAAACACAAGCTGCAGATCTTTGTAGACACCATTGGGGGCTTACAAGAAATAATAAGTGGCGATTTAGAGCAGTTGGCTGCCAAGCTTGGCTGAACATCAGAAACCACTTGTGAAGTTTGTAAAGCAGATTTCTTGGCTCTGACCACAGAGACGGGTTCAGTGGAGCTGGACTCAGCTGATCCCACCAGTTGGAAAACTAGAGGTCAGAGGGACAAGGCAAGAAGGCTTAGAAACAAATGAGCAGTGATAGAAATTTATTTTGTTGGGGTAGAGGAAAAGATGGGAGAAAAGATTCCTTTCCACCTCAGTGAACCTTCTCATTTTATCTCCAGCTAAGTGAACAATAGAGTTGAATCTACAGAAGAATGAGACAGACTCTTGCTTTTAGGACTTGAAGTACTGTAATAGAGGCAGCCACTCTTAAAAAAAGACGGGGAAAACAAGCCAACTTCCCAAACCAGCACGCTAAAAGATGGGCAGATTATCATCAAGGCCAGTCACTATGGGCTCAAACAGTGAATAAACCCAACAAATAAACAGAAAATAAATGTAAATCCCTTCCACAGGAATAATCTGTACTGACAGGTGCACAAACCCAAAGAGCACTTACAAGAATGACCAATGACGTTATCAGACCACTAGAGGGCAGTGCCACTTCGTTACTTTTTAAGTCAACCCCTTGCACTTGGGACCAAGTCAAAACTTAGTGACACTGAAGATAAAGTATGCTCCTTGGAAGCTTAAGAAACCCAGGAATCCTGGGTGCAGTGATGCAGGATTTGTCCTTGTCCTACAGGTACCTTCCTTAAAAACAAACTGAGACTGAACAATCAGAAAGTCATCTGAGGGTTACCTGGCTGTTTTATTATCAGTGTTCACTGGTGACCAGTGGGCTGTCCCTGCTAAGCTTCAGTCATTCTCTTTTCTGCTTGGCAGTGTTGTGGTCAAACCTGGGCTTTGTTCATGCTGAGCAAGTGCTCTACCACTGCATCTTAAGTCACTGAATCTTTCATGCCCAGCCTCAGAACAAATATGTCCCTGTGCGAGTCCAAGATAAAATGGCACTACTGTTCTCTTAGATTAAGTTCCTTAGGGCAGCAGACTTCTACCCACAGCTCCTAGACTCCTGATGGGTGCTTGTGTCTCTGCCCCAGTGGTACCCTAGGCTTCTTCACAAATTCCATTCCCAGAGGAAGAAATAAAGAGGGCCTCTCATTCTTTTATTCTGCTTTCATCCAGGGATCCAGCATATCAAACAGTACCTGTGAAGAGTATGAGTTCAGATATGTCCTGACTGGAGTGCTTGTCCCTCCAGCTTTGATGCTAGTGCACCTGGAGAGGCTGGCACAGGCTGCAGTGCCTGGGTAGGGAATGCCTTCCTGGAATGTGCCTCGGGGAAACTACACAGCCAGAGGGCCTCCTTGACTTCCCTGTATTTCTTGTTTCACAAGAACATGAATGTTCATTTGTTTCAGAGGCATGACCCATTCAGGGCAGACATCACAGAGCTGGGGGCAGGGAGTGTAAACCTTGGGCCTCATTCATACCAGGTTATGTACTTTACCATGGGGCTATACATTCTCAGCCAAACAAAAGATTATTCAAAACATACATGGTTTTGTTAGGCATGGTGGCACACACCTTTAATACCAGCACTTGGGAGGGGGAGGCAGAGTCAGAGTCAGAGGCAGGTATATCTCTCTGAGTTTGAGGATGGCCAGGGCTACACACAGAAACCCTGTCTTGAAACACCAAACCAAAAACAAACCTTATTTCTTTGGTGAGGAGGGCAGGTAGAGAATAAAGTGCTTAGTTCTCATCTACAACTCAACTCAGACAAATCACTAATGCATGGAATCAAAGGACAAGTCCTGTAGCTGAGCAAATTTTCAGTGAATTACAATAAAAAATTTATTTATGGAGGCTGGAGATGTAGTGCGATTGGCAGAGTGCTTGCCAACCATGCCTAAAGCCCTAGCCCTTCATAAAGAGATCCTTAGCATGGCGTTAGGACTGGATATGGTGTCTGTAATTCCATCATTTAAGAGGTAGAGGCGGGAGAATTATAAAATTCAAGATCATCCCAGCAACAGAGTTTGAGCGTAGTTTGGACCAAGCTGCTACCTGAAGTAATTTGTATTTCCAGCACATATCAGGACTGGGTGAAAGGAGATCTACTAAGAGCATGCCTGTTGAGAGGTGGGAGGCTTTAGAAAAGACTGATGGCTGGGGATGTTACTCAGTGGTAAAATGTGCTAGCATGCATTAATCCTGAGTTTGTTTAATCTTCAAGAAAAGGTCATGGGTAACCTTAATTTACAAGATGGAAACTTTCATTATATTTTAAAAACATAAAATACTGTTTGGTTACACTTTTCTTCCTGCCCCAATGTAATTTTAAAAACTTGAGAAGCCAAGTTCTCTGAACAAATTTTCCAATTTCATCTATTGCCAATCTCTTGCCAAACTATTATATTTCAAACAATCTAAATCCTAGCTAGAAGATTACCAGTCTTGTGATTAGAGTAAACTTTATTTTTATAATGTTATACCTGTAACGCTGCTTGAAAGGATGGAAAAGCAAGAAAAGTGGCTTTCTTAGATGTGAGACATCCCTGCAAAACTAAACAGCAGCCAAAGGCCTTGCCTTGCTAACCCTTCCCATCAGAGGTATCTTCAGGTTGCTTTTATCCTCACTTAGGCCAGCACAGATAGAACCAAAGAAGAGGCAACCAGAAACATAGTGGCAAGGGGATGTTTGTAGGTGATACAAAGTAAGGAAAGAGCAAAATCTGCACACTTCTATTTTACAAAGCACAAAATTTGAAGCCTCAGAAGGCAAAACCCTACTAATCACTTATCACTCCTATGATGATTCAATTAATGCTCAGTAAATTCAAAGAAACCTGTCTGGGCTCATATTTAGGTTACGGCAAGGAGAGAAAGAGCTCCCTGACTATGGGGATGGTTCTTCCACTAGACCAAGTCTAAACTCCCAATGCAGACAGCATTCTGATGACAATGATTCTGTTATAATAGGGCCTTATAGGGATGAGTGTGTGTGTGTGTGTGTGTGTGTGTGTGTGTGTGTGTGTGAGAGAGAGAGAGAGAGAGAGAGAGAGAGAGAGAGAGAGAGAGAGAGGTGTCCTTGGGGCTCAGGCCTACCAATCAATACCTAAGTTTTGTTTAGTTATATCTTTGTTAAGCACTTGGATGTAAGTTCCCTAATGTCTAAGCTTTATTGTAGGAAAAGGAAGACAAAACATAATCTCAGGAGGAAATAACCAAAAAAATCTTGGCTCTGGGGTTGGAGAGATGGCTCAGAGGTTAAGAGCATTGCCTGCTCTTCCAAAGGTCCTGAATTCAATTCCCAGCAACCACATGGTGGCTCACAACCATCTGTAATGAGATCTTGTGCCCTCTTCTGGCCTGCAGGCATACAGACAGAACATTGTATACATAATAAATAAATATTTCAAAAAAAAAAAATCTTGGCTCTGGATTCTTGATGAGAGAGTAACCAAGGAGTTGGACTGTCGATAGCTAATTGGAAGATGTGTCTACAGCTTCTTATGGAAGTTCTGACATATAGCTATTCCAGTGGCTCTATGGAATATAATTTTATTATATTTATTTAATAGCAGACATAGTGAATGACAGGTATTTATCTTTATTCTGCATGTGATGATGGTGGAATACACCATAACCTTTGGGGGCATCACCAGGGGCATATGGGCAAGAGATGAAGAATCCAGGGTTGCTTATCCTGTCTCTAGAGTGGCTTTCCACAAAGTGCACATATGGAAATGACCTATTTTCCTGGCTGGTATCCTCTGGAAGCATTGCATTTTCTAGAGCTATCCATGACAAATGTGAGGCACATTCGTTTTGGCTGCTCCTGACTACCCAGCATTAGAAGGCCTTCCTCAGCAATGCATAGAATACCTTCCCTGCTGTATAGCAGGCTTTGGATCAATGTTCCATGGTGGGTAGCACACTTGGGTAAAGGATTATCAACCCCTTCTTCTCACTCTCACAGGTAGAAGGATGACATTTTGCTCTGGTAGCCAATTACTAAATAATGCACACGTCCACAACTTAAGAGAAATGGTTATTGGTATGAAAACATTCAATTATATAGTTCCATCTATGAACAATTTAAGATAGTCAACTAACTGTGATAGACACAAACAAGAACCTTTTAGAAGCATCTACCATAATACACCTGACAATGTCCCCCCCACCCCCCCAGGGTTTTTCTGTAGCTTTGGAGCCTGTCCTGGAACTCACTCTGTGGGCCAGGTTGGCCTTGAACTCACAGATATCTGCCTCCTGAGTGCTGGAA